TTATTTATTTGACAGAGAGAGACAGCGAGAGAGGGAACACAAGCAGGGGGAGTGGGAGAGGGAGAAGCAGGCTTCCCGCGGAGCAGGGAGCCCGATTCGGGGCTGGATCCCAGGACCCTGGGATCATGACCTGAGCCCAAGGCAGACGCTTAATGACCAGCCACCCAGGCGCCCCTGCAGCTTCTTTTTATTACCGTAGATTTCCAGCCCCTTTCCCCAGTCCCGGTGCTAACAGAGTTTAGTGCTGTAATTACATACCCTGTCCTAGTGGTTTACCATCTCACTATGAATAGATTAGCTCTAGTAATGAAGAGCAACTATTGCATTTTAATAATTTTTTGACCTTATCATAAATTTGACAAATATCTGAGTACCTACTCTATGCCTACTACTGTTTTAAGTGCTGGGGTTAGAGCAGTGGCCTTGATAAATTCCTTGCCCTGTGGAATTTATATTCTAATGGAGGAGATGGATTTTAACAAGTTTAACCAAAATCATTTGGTTTCAGATAGTGATGAGTGCTAAGAAGTTAACACTTAAGTTAATATAAGAGCATTAACAGTTGCCTCAGGGTGGTCAAAAAAGGCCTCTCTGAGGACTTGCAGTCTAGGGAAGAATATTCCAGGCTGAAGGAGTAGCAACACAGCGAAGGCTCTCAAAGCCAGAAAACATTTAGTATATTTGAGGAATGAAGGAGGTGGGTATGGCTGGGCTAGGTCCGGTCTCTCAGGCCTTTATAGGCCCTGGAAAGAAGCTTTGAAACTTATTCTGAGAGAGACTGGAATCCATCGGAGGGCTTTCAGTAGGGGAGAGACTGTAATATACATTAGCAAAGGTTAATATTTATTCCCTCAAATATTTAGTATCTGTTGTGTATCAGATACTGTTTTTTTTTTTTAAAGATTTATTTATTTATTTGAGAGAGAGAGAGAGAGAGAAAGTGTGGGGCGGGAGGGGCAGAGGGAGAGGTAGACACAGACTCCCCACTGAACAGGGAGCCCGACGCAGGGCTCAATCCCAGGACCCCTAGATCATGATCTGAGCCAAATTAAGAGTCAGATACTCAACCAACTGAGTCACACAGGTACCCCTCAGATATTGTTTTTGGTGCATGGATACTACAGTGAACAAATAGACAAAGTCGAGGAAGTCATATTCTAAAAGGGAGAGATAAGCATTAAGTAAATAAATAAGGATATCATTTGTCAGTTGGTTATAAGTATACAAAAGTATACAAAACAACAACAACAACAACAGGCAGAGTGAATGAATGGAATGAATGGAGGTGGTCAGGAGAGGCCTCTCTGATAAATGACAGGTGGGCAGGGCAGACCAGAGTATGGGGAGGCAGTCTGTAGCTGGTTCAGGGAGGAGCCCTTCAGGGAGAAGGGAGGGCATGAACAGAGCACAGAATAGATTTGTGTTTTGGGTATCGCTGTCCTAAGGGCATTACATGCATTAATTCACTTATTCCTGTAACAGTCCCCTTAGTTCTATATGGGGACTGGGCTGTGGTGAGAGGCAGATGGCCAGCAGGAAGACCACTGAAGAGATTCAGTTTGGCAGGGGGAGAGATGAGGTGGTATGGACAAGGGTGAGAGCATTGAAGGCGATGAGAGGCAGCAGATTTGGGATATAATCTGATAGTAATGTATGGCTTTCTGAGGGACCAGAAGTGAAGTATGAGAGAAAGAGGCTAAAGGACCATTTCTAAGTTGTGGCTTCTACGCGAAGCTGAGTGGCTTATGGAGTCACTGATTGAGAAGGGCATTTTCATGGAAGGAGTTGGTTTTTCTATTTGCACATTTATGTTTGAGATACGTCTTAGACACCAGAGGTGTCATGCGGGCAGACTGCTACCCATGTATGGAATTCAGTGGAGAGGTCAGGAGATATAAATTTGGAAGTCATCAGCATATAGATAGTGTTTCAACATGGGACTGGTTGAAATCACTTATGGAGAGAATGCAGCTGAAGAAATCAAGGACTGAATCCAAGGATACTCTGAGACGTAGAGGTTGGCAAGAGCAGAATTCAGCAAAGGAGACTCAGGTGGAGAGCCTGTGTCTCAGAAGTCAAGTGAAGGAAGTATTCTGTGAAAGGGAAAGCACTCAGCTGCATCAAACACCGTCGGCAGACTAAGTTAAATGAGAACTGAGCACCATGTATCAGATCTGGTAAAATGCTGCTCTTGGTGGCCTGGACGAGGCCCAGTTCAGCATTCATCCCATAGGCTCAGATTATAAATGATTTATTTCATTTAATTTAGGCATGTTTCACACGCACTGTTTAGTAGGATTATTTAGCTCTGTGTCCATCCCCCTAAATTGTTAATTCCAGGGGACGGACACCATATCACTCTCTTTGTATCACTAATTGTGCCAAACAGCATTGTTCGTAGTAAGCTCTGAAGCACGTTTTTTTCTTCTACAGAAATCCATTCAGAGTTTATTTATTTATTTTTTTAAGATTTTATTTATTTATTTGACAGAGAGAGACACAGCGAGAGAGGGAACACAAGCAGGGGGAGTGGGAGAGGGAGAAGCCAGCTTCCTGCTGAGCAGGGAGCCCGATGCGGGGCTCGATCCTAGGACCCTGGGATCATGACCTGAGCCGAAGGCAGCGCTTAACGACCGAGCCACCCAGGCGCCCTCATTCAGAGTTTAAATTGATGATTATTCCAAAGTACCATGAGATCCTCATTTGTAAAATTACATTTTATTTTATTTATAGGACTCCCTAGGATGAGGGAATATTGCCGTGAAAGTGACTAACCTGTATTCTTGCAGTGATAAAGATGGAACAGTTTGTTTGTTTTTTGAAAAAGTTTTGCAAGTTAGCTTGGAACAATTGTATCCCCCTTCCTATATTACAACAGCAAAGCAGAACTCTGACCTTCATAAGAAATGGTTCAGAGATAAAGTTTGTATTCACACTGAATGGGAAAAATCAATTCCTGCGCTTAGTTCTTTAAAGAAGGAAGGATCACAGAGTTGATGTGCTGTAAGCCTTTAATTTTGTAGACAAGGAACCAGAGGCTCAGAAAATTTGTGACTTGCCCACACTCACAGAAATGAGACTGGAGCCCAGAACTCTAATTTGGGAGTGCTTTCTGAAGGCTACTGTCCTGGCGCACAGTAGCATGTCATGTGCTCTGCATATCGACGTGAACGTGAACGTCAGCGTCTCCACCCAGAAAACAGGTTGGAACCTGCCCGTGGGTAGGCAATCATGTCTTCATTTTTGTCTGGCTGGTGTTCCCATTCTGTTTCTCTTTTCGGTTTGAAGTACTTGCAGCTCCGCAACACGTCGGTTGGGAATCATGCTTACGAGAACAAGGGCATGGAGCAGTCTGCTCTGGCCATCTGTCAGCACTTCTATAGGCAAGGAAACATCTGTCCTGGAAATGCTACCTTTGACATTGATCCAGAAATCGAAACTGGTGAGGTTCTTCAAGAAACTGGAGCTTCCATTTTTTTTTAACTCCTTGATTTATCCTTAAAATCAGTAATTTCATCTCTGAAAATGTTCATTTGGTCTGTGCTATTAGGTCATAGTAAGAATATTTGTGGGAGTTATTATGTGTCAGGTACTGTCCCAAGCCCTTTACTGTAACTCATGATTTTTAAAAACAACAGCAAGAACAAACAAATAAGGCAAGATATATTATTATTATTTTTAAAGATTTTATTTATTTATTTGAGAGAGAGAATGAGAGACAGAGAGCATGAGAGGGAGGAGGGTCAGAGGGAGAAGCAGACTCCCTGCCGAGCCCGGAGCCCGATGCGGGACTCGATCCCGGGACTCCAGGATCATGACCTGAGCCGAAGGCAGTCGCTTAACCGACTGAGCCACCCAGGCACCCCAAGGCAAGATATATTATTATCCTCAATTTAGAGAAGACTAAAGTATGGCTCAGAGAGTTCAGTGATATGGTCCAGATGGAGCTGGTAAGAGGTAGTGCTGAAATTTGATCCAGGCTATCTGTGCTCTGAGCCACTACATTCTTAGCCTCTATATTCCAATTCCTCTTGCACTGGATAAGCCAGTTATATAAACTTATACTATCCTTATAAAACATTGTACTTGCAAAGTCATCATGTATATAAAACTCCCTCCCCTCAACTGCACTTCTCTACTTAGTATCTTTGGTGGTAGGTTTAGGGAGGAACCAGAACCAGGAATTAGAATAGAATGGCTTATTATTATTAATTTATTTTTTTAAGTAGGCTCCATGCCCAGAGTGGAGCCCAGTGCAGGGCTTGAACTCACAACCCTGAGATCAAGATCTGAGCTGAAGTCAAGGGTTGGTCACTTAACCAACTAAACCACCCAGGTGCCCTTGAGTGGCTTATTCTTATTAGCAAAGTTCTATTTACAATGTGTACCTAAAATACTAACTTAAGTCTTTGAGTTAAAAATTAAGTATCCGGATACTTTTAACAATAGTCACTGGGACGGTTTTTGGAGAGGGATAGTCAAGGATTACAGTACAGATTAGTGAAATCTCCTAAAATGCTGTCTTCCTTTTTTTTTTTAATTTTAAAATAAAATAGTATTTTAAAAAATAGATCCTTTAAATTTAGAAAATTTTATCTTAGGTACTGTAAGTGCTTCACACTTATGCTTAGGATACAAAAAAGGGAGAAGGGATGCAAAGTTTAGGCTCACAAAGGCAGGAAGGAAGAGAGCATTCTATAGGAGACTAATGAGACAGAGTTCAGGTTCAGGTCTCCTACCCTTTACTCACTCCAGAAATGTAGCCACTTGCATCTTAAAAACAACTGACTCATTGTAACCAAGCAATATTGACCTTTAGCTTTTAAATCTTAATTCAGAAGAACGGTAGAATCTGAATATCTAGTCTTAAATATATTATCCTTCCAAGATGCAGTTCACTTATTTATTTTAGGCAATATACATAATGTTTTGTTCCTTTCTATGGCAGAATGTTTCTTTGTAGAGCCAGACGAACCTTTTCACATCGGAACAGTGGAAGGAAATAAACTCAACTTAACGCTGGACTTTCATAGGTGAGGGAAGCAGTTGGGAGTGTACCTTGTGTGTCTGGGTGTGTATGTTTTCACTGCACTAAAGCCTCCTCTGTTTCCTAGACTCCTAACTGTGGAGCTGCAGTTTAAACTGAAGGCCATTAATCTGCAGACCATTCGTCATCACGAGCTCCCTGACTGTTACGACTTTACTCTGACTGTAAGCGTGGGCTGGGCTGAATTTGGTCCCTGGCTGAAGAAAAAATTGTTTGATTTCGTTACATGTTTCATCTACCCCTATTAAAGCGTGGTCAGATATATAGGATGTTTCCACTTGAATGTGCCCAGGGGAAACATTGGTACAGCTGGCTCTGTTTTGTTACGGTAACTTGTTTACTTGTTAATTATCTATCCTCTGTACCTCAGTGGAAGTCCTGTGAGGGCGGGGACCTTGCCTCCAGTACTCGGACCAGTGCCTGGCACAGGGGAGGTGTTCAATACAAAAGTAGCAGAGAGCTTGTAGGTCCTCTGTAGTTGGCTCATACCAGTCTGTGGCTCTCTGCTTACGGTCATTGCCAGGGGTTCTGGCTGCTGAGGCTCCTCACTGTAGATGTGTGCAGCCTTTGGGTTATTGCTCACAGTGCCTTCCTTGGGCCACCTCCGGATGCTCTGGTTCCTCCCCCTTCAGCCCACCCTGCCACATCTCTGTTCTCTACATTCCAGTTGCAAAAGGAGCTATTAATGTTCTCTAGAGAGCACAAGGTGCCTCCCATGTGAGCTCATCAGCCCGTGAGGCTCAGGGTCAGTAATCCAATGCTGTGTGGGGCATACGTGGAACAGCATTTGATACAACTCGCCTTCACACAGTCCAGATTGCTGTTACTTCAGCAGCAGTTTGAACCAGAGCTCTGTCCTTGATATTCAACTAACTGGCTATGAGAAATCAAGTTTTCAGAGGTTGAGGTTAAAAAAATTTCCAAATATAGTGTAATTAAGAATTATGCGTATTATTTAACAGGAAAAAGCACTAATACTATAAGACTCTTTTGTGTTAGGCTACAAATTTTGATCCTAATATTAACTGGGAAGTTACGAATTTTCAATATTACTTGACTTTTTTTAAAAAATTGAGCTATTAGGGGCACCTGGGTGACTCAGTTGTTAAGCGTCTGCCTTTGGCTCAGGTCATGATCCCAGGGTCCTGGGATCGAGCCCCACATCAGGCTCCCTGCTCGGCGGGAAGCCTGCTTCTCTCTCTCCCACTCCCCCTGCTTGTGTTCCCTCTCTCACTGTGTCTCTCTCTGTCAAATAAATAAATAAAATCTTTAAAAAAAAATAAATAAAAAATTGAGCTATTATCCAGTCTTGTCTCTTCTCCCTCCTCTCCCTTACCACCCCCTGCACCACTCTCGAACTGAGAAATGGCACTTTTCAGAAGTTTTATAATCCTCAAGGCTCAGCTCAACTGACACCGTCTTCCTGGACCCTCTTTGTGATGCTTCAGTTAGGAACACATTCTGTGCTCTGAACTCCAGGGTTTTATTTTTGGTTTTGTTTTTATATTTTAATGGGCTTACCCACCTTCTCTTTTGTTTTAGGATTTTCTAGGCTTTTGTCATCAACTCTGCTAGACTGAAAGCTGCTTGAAGGCAGGGATCATTTTATTAATCTTTGCATCCCTCAAAGAACATAGTAGGTGACTCAAATATTTGTGGAATGAATAAATGAAACATTTGTAAACTGCAGACCCTTTCCCATGACTCAGTACAGTGGTGAGAGCAACCTGACCCGTTAGCCACAGGTGGATGTTCTGTTTTTCCTGTTACTGCAGATTTGACCCAACTATGCCTGTGCTTTGTGGATTTAGCGGTGTGTCTCACAGAACTGTAGTGGAACTGATGCCCTACAGGGTAGTTTATTTTTTTATTTTTTATTTTTTTAAAATATTTTATTTATTTCTTTGACAGAGAGAGAGAGAGCCCAAGCAGAGGGAGTAACAGGCAGAGGGAAAGAGAGAAGCAGGCTCCCTGCAGAGCAGGGAGCCCGATGCAGGGCTCGATCCCAGGACCCTGGGATCATGACCTGAGCCGAAGGCAGACGCCCAACGGACTGAGCCACCCAGGTGCCCCAATAGGCTAGTTAAATAATAAACACAATTAGTGCAACTTTATGGTTATAAGTAAACATGAACTGGGGCCATATATGCCTGACTTAAAATGCAAGGGTTTTGGAATCAGGCAAGCCTAGATTTGAATTCCAGCTCACCAGTTAGTAGCTTGTAACTTTAGGTAAAATACTTAATTGGTTTGAATTCCAGTTTTCTCATTTATAAAACAGAATTAATGCCCATCTACCTAACAAAGTTGTCAAGACATCTGTCTATCTAATATACCTCATGTATATGAGATATATAGCAGATATTTGATTCATGCAACAACTGTTTATGAAACCTTCCTGTGTGTGCCTATCATTTGGATTTATAATGTAAAAGTAGTACATTAACATTCATCCATAGCAATTTGATATATTCTTGCATCATGTATTTTGAAGCTCTTTATTAGGTGTACAAATATCTAGGATTCTTGTGTTCACTTGAGGAACTGACTCTTACGTCATTAAGAAATGGCACTTTTTATCCCAATATATATCCTTTGCTCTAAAATCTACTTTGTTTGATCTTAATATAACCACTCCAGCTTTATTTTATTTATTTATTTATTTATTTTCAAGATTTTATTTATTTATTTGACAGGGAGAGAGAGAGACAATGAGAGAGGGAACACAAGCAGGGGGAGTGGGAGAGGGAGAAGCAGGCTTCCCGCGGAGCAAGGAGCCCGATGCGGGGCTCAATCCCAGGACCCTGGGATCATGACCTGAGCCCAAGGCAGTCGCTTAACCAACTGAGCCACCCAGGTGCCTCTCCAGCTTTCTTTTAATTAGTGTTAGTATGGTATATCTTTTTCCATCCTTTTGATATTAACCTATTTGTATCTCATGTTTAAAGTAGGTTTCTTATTAGGCAGCATAGAGTTAAGTCTTGTTTTTTTACCCAACCTCATAATCTGTACCTTTTAATTGGGGTGCTTAGACCATTTAAATGACATGTGATTATTAATATAGTTTCTCTCTTTTCCTGCCTGAATCGAGTATTTTTTGGATACTATTTTAGCTCATTTGTTAGCTTATTAGCTATAACTTTTTATGGTATTATTTTTAGGGTTTACAGTACACATATTTAAATTATTATCACCTGCCTTCAAGTGGTATTACACCGCTGCATGTAGAGCACAGGAATCTTGCAACAATCTATTTCTGTGTCTCCTACCTTGGCTTTTATGTTGTTGTTGTCACACAGTTTACTTCCAGATGTGTTACGAACTATATAATGCACTGTTAGCAGTTTTTATTTAAACAATTATCTTTTAAAGCAATTTAAATAATAAGAAAAAAAGTATATTGGCCCATGAAGTAACCATTTCAGCACGCTTCATTCTTTAGCATAGCTCTAGGCTTTCATCTGGGATCGTTTTCCTTCCGTCTGAAGGGCTTCCTTTAACATTTTTTATAGTGCAGGTCTGCTGAGAGACTTTTATATGCCTAAAAAAGTATTTATTCCTTCTTCATTTTTATTTTATTTTTTAAGTAAAGATTTTATTTATCCATTTGAGAGAGAGACAGAGCACAAGCAGGGGGAGTGGCAGGCAGAGGGAGAGGGAGAAGCAGGCTCCCCATGGAGCAAAGAGCCCGACGCAGTGCTCAATCCCAGGATCCTGGGATCATGACCCAAGCTGGAGGCAGATGCCCAACCGACTGAGCCACCCAGGCGCCCCTCCATCTTCATTTTTAAAGATGGTTTCACTGGGTATAGAGTTCTCGGTTGACTGTTTGTCCCCCAGGACTTTAAAGATGTTGTTGCTCTTCTAGCTTGCATTGCTCTGATAAGAAATGTGCTGTGGTCTTCATCTTTGTTCCTCTGCAGGGCATGTATTCCCTCCTCCCTCTTGCTGCTTTTCAATTGTTCGCTTTATCTCTTTGATTATGATATGCCTTAGTGTAATTTTCTTCAAGTTTCTTGTGTTTAAGGTTTATTAAGCATTGATTCTGTGGGTTTATAATTTCCATTATATTTGACATTTATTAAACGTCACTTCTTCAAATAGTTTTGTCTCTTCTCCTTCCTCCCCCTCCAGGATTCGAATTCCATGTATATTTGGTCACTTGAAGTTGTCTCATAGCTCGCTAATGTTTTGTGTTTTTGTTTCATTTTCCAATCTTTCTTCTCTGTGTTTCATTTTGGAAGTTTCTATTGCTCTACCCTCGAATTCACTAATCTTTTTTCTGTGCTATCTAATCTGTTCTTAATCCTATCCATTATTTTTTCTTCTTTGTTTAAAGAATTCAACTTCTTCAAGCCCGACTGAGATGTGATTGACATTGAGCCAAAGTATATTTACTCAGCAGATATTTAGTGAGCACCTACTATTTATAAGGCCCGGACACTGTCTGTGTGGGAAAAGCATGGGTTCTCCTCGGCAAAGATTTCTGACTCATTCAAATCATATGAAGCATCTTTCCTTTGTGAGGCCACGGACTGGGTCCTCCAGTCGATGTGGAGATGTGCGGACACTGACAACATTTTTAGCTGCTTGTCAAGGAAAGAAGCTTACAGTCCAGCATGAGGAGAAACAAAGCGACCAGACTCACTAAATGTCTTTGAAATCTTGTATCTGCAGGGATGTCTAGTTACCCCTCATGAAGAAGCTTCAATAAAATTCATTTAAATGGCAGACTTTTTTTTTCTCTTTGAGAGAGAGAGAGAGAAAGAGCACAAGCAGGGGGAGCAGCTGAGGGAGAGGGAGAAGCAGACTCCCTGCTGAGTGGGGAGCCCGACGTGAGTCTTGATCCCAGGACCCTGGGATCATGACCTGAGCTGAAGGCAGACACCTTGACTGATGGAGCCACCCAGGCACCCCTAAAGAGCAGACTTTTGAGAGAATGTTTTCTCTTTAAGACTTGAGCGAGGAGGGGGGCGCCTGGGTGGCTCAGTTGGTTAAGCGACTGCCTTCGGCTCAGGTCATGATCCTGGAGTCCCGGGATCGAGTCCCGCATCGGGCTCCCTGCTCAGCAGGGAGTCTGCTTCTCCCTCTGACCCTCCCCCCTCTCATGTGCTCTCTCTCTCATTCTCTCTCTCAAATAAATAAATAAAATCTTAAAAAAAAATTTTTTAAAAAAAAAAAAAAAAGACTTGAGCGAGGAGGCACTAAAAGCAAACCAAACAAAACCACGGCTGATTTCCGTGCTTTCCCCGTCCCTGCATGGGGCAAGTGGAGAGAGCTAGAACGGGAAGACAGTAGGATTATGGAAGGTGTTCTGGTGTGGCTTTGTCCTGCTTGGTGCCTGGTGTCTGAAATGGTGATCCTTGAAGCAAAACATGGCTGTCGACTCCCTGTTACCACATCCTTTTCTATACATATGGTACTAGAGTGACTAAGAAATCTAGGCCCAGAATGAAAATCAGAAAAGCTCCACCTGAAGTGTTGCAAGCCTGAGATAATTAACCTCTGTGTTAGTAAGAATTGCTGCAGCATTAACAAACTATCCCCAGCTGAGTTCCGGGGAGGGGGGAAGGCACACTTGTACCAGCTCTTGTTCATATCAAGAGGGCATCTAGAGATACTTAGCGTGGGAAGGAGAGAGATCTCTTGTTTTATAAATTGTCCAGGGCTGGAATACTGTCCTAGAAATATAGGCTTTTAGAGACTAAAAGGTCTCGACAGAAGATCTTGTCCAACTTTCTCATTTCACATAGAAATAAAGGGCGCTTCCCAAAGTTAAACAGAGCTAGCATCAACTCGGGGAGGAGAGTCTAGAATGAGAATCTGGGTGGATATCCTGTTACCTTGGAAGATCTGTTTCCTAATTAATGCCTAGAGACATCTTGGCTTCAAGAACTATCGGTGTGTTTTGACCCTTTTCCTGTTCTTCACAGATAACACTTGACAATAAGGCCCATAGTGGAAGAATTAAGATAAGTTTAGATAATGACATTTCCATCAGAGAATGTAAAGACTGGCATGTATCCGGATCAAGTAAGTGGTGAATTTTACTAGTTTTCAAAATGGTTATTAAATAAAATAAAAGGGTTATTAAATTACTGGGATGTGTGGAGCATCAAATGAAAGAATCAGAGCATTCCCAAGTTCCTAATTCTCTGCAAATAGATCAACTCATTGTGGGTGTCTGATGTTCCAGGCAACGCATAAGTTATTAGTAATTGAAATGACTTTTGCTGACCTCTACGTGTGCCCTCACTAGCCCAGTTCCTACCAAAAAATGCACATGATCCCCCAGGAAAAATAATCACATATGCCCAAACTAATATTTTTTGAGTGTTTACTGCATAAGGACTTCCACCTACAATTTAGTAGTTTTAAAATATCCTTGAGATAGGCAGCATCCCTATTTACACAAAGAAACTAAGGCTTAGAAGTGAATCTTGGTGCCTGTGATCATACAGCCATGGAGAGGTCAGGTACGATTGGACCCTGAAGCATCCCGCACGTTATATTTATATTCAGGAATGAAGAAAGGGTACATTCTTAGAAATATGGACATAAATTCAGGTATAGACTAAGTATGATTGAGAATTTGGGGGCTGAACTAGAGAAAATTGACTGGAAAAGAATTGATCTTTCTCATTTTTTAGGCCCTTTGGTATGCTGTGCTGGATTAGGTCAGGGGTTCTTAGATTCTGGTGAGCCTAAGAATCACCCCAGGTCCCTGCTTAGATGCAGGTTCCCCAGCTCCCTGCAAGGCAGTCAGCAGGTCTGGGGTGAGGCCTAGGAACGTGCAGGTCATCCTTATTCATGCCATACTTGGAAAATCATTGCTTTAGGGCTTCCTACTGGTTGATTCACACAGTTCAGAAGTGGTAATGAGATATTAAGGATAAATGAAATTTCTTCATTCTAGCGTTCTTTTCATTATGAGGTAACTTCAAATATTTAAGGCTTGTGAATGACAAATTTTATTTGTCATCTGTAAACACTACTTCTCCACACACTTTGGAATAGAGAAAATGAGAGCATATGAAAGTACCTGGCACGCAGGCTTTCTCTCAAATGTTTGTTTCTTAGTTTTTAGGTTTTTCTAAAGTAGATGCAGACATTTTCGTAACAATTAGATGTCCCTTGGCTAATATTAATAGGATGCTTCATTACAGAACTTTGAACTACAGAACTATAGTGTTAAGTGCTTGTCTTTTTATCAGTGGGGAGCAGTCTACCTTGTCAAATAAAGACAGGCTCTGTAGCACAGCATATGAGGGCTGAGACCTCTGCTCACCTCTCTTCACCTGACTCCACTCATGCTGGCTGACTCTGTGCTTGCAGTTCTCCAGAATCTCTGCGTGGGTGGCTCTGTCTTATCACCCAGGTCTCACCTGAGACCTGCTGCCCCTTACTGTGCCGCATAAACGAGCCTCTTCTCCCCATGCCCCCACACCGGTCTCTCTCATTTCGAACAGTGGTTCTCGAACTTCTCTGCCAGCTGAGAGAGCTTGTAAAAATGCCGTTTCTGATTCAGTGGGTCTAGGGTAGGGCTGGAAGGTGTGCATGTCCACCAGTTCCCAAGGGATGCCAAGAACCACTCATATGCAGTGACAGATGCCGGACACAGACTGCAAAGGTTTGAATCCTGACTCTGCCATGGACTGGCTATGTAGCCTTGGGCAAGTTTCTGTGACCTCCTTGTGCTGCATTTTCTCACCTGCCAAGTGGGGATAATCACAGCCCCCTGGTTGGGGTTGCTGTGAGGATCAAATCAGTTAATACGTATAAAGTGCTCAGGACTGTGTGTGGCATAGCAATACCTGTTAGCTATTATGCTCATTTTCTTCATATCACTTACTCCTGTCTGCAAGTATTTTGTTCATTTACTTGTTTACTTCCCTGTGTGTCACACTGAGTAGAATAGAAATTCCCCAAGTCGGGGGCCCATCTTGGTCACCACTTGTATGCTCAGCATCTAGAGAAACACCTGACACATAGTGGGTTCTTAACAAGTGTTTTACATCCAGATAGTATATTTTAATAGGATGTGCAGGAAGGCTAACTGTATTAAGAACAAAAGACCACAGGCTGATAATTAAAGATCTGTTATTGATGGCTGTAGTAATTTTTAAAAGAAGGACTTTTAACTTTTTTAAATACTCATGTGAAGGACACTTACCAGGGCCTTTTCTCTCTGTTGTCTTTGCAGAAAGAATGTCTGAATGCTCTAAATTATTCTAAAAAGCAGTGTAATGGGTTCAGATAAAATTTGAAAATGCTTCTGAAGGATGCAAAAAGACCTGAATCAGTGGAAAGGCACATCATATTCTTTTGGACAAGAGATTCTACATTACATATATTCCAATTCTCCCTAAATTAATTTATACATTTAATTTATAAATTTTAATTTAAATTATAAATCCCCCCCCTCAAAATTACCAGTAGGATTTTTACTGGAATTTAACAGTCTGACTCTAAGGAATATATGGAAAAATAAACAAGCAAGAATAGCCAACAAAAGTTCCAAAAAAGAGTAATGAGAAGTGTTTGCCTTAGGCATTAAAATACACTCAAACATCAAAAGGGTAAGAGATGGTTCTTGAATACATACAGTTAATTTGGCAACTGATAAAGATGGCATTTCAAATCACTGAGAAAAAGATTTGCTCTTTTGATTGGCAAAAACAAAAGATTATTAATTTCCAATGGTGGACAAGATGTGGAGGTATGTGTAGGTATGTAAACTGGCGTGATCTTTTTGGAGGGCAATTTCTTAGGATTTCTTTTTAGAACTATGTATATACCTTACCCCAACAATTCCATCTCTAGATATTCATTTGCCTAAAGAATCACTTGCACCTGTGCACAGAGAGGACAGATTACAGAGTGTCCTCATAAATCTTATACATCTATCCTGTGGTATGCAATGCAGCAGTTAAGCAGGTAACACTTTTTCCTTCCAGTTCAGAAGAACACTCACTACATGATGATCTTTGATGCCTTTGTTATTCTGACAAGCTTGGCCTCACTAATCCTGTGCCTTCGATCTGTGATTAGAGGACTTCAGCTTCAGCAGGTAGGGCTTGCTGCTTTCTAGAAATGCTACGGACACTGTGATCGACAGAGAAATTCATGGTGCCTCCCCTCTTTTCCCTAAAGGAATTTGTTGGTTTTTTCCTCCTCCATTATAAGAAGGAAGTTTCTGTTTCTGATCGAATGGAATTCGTCAACGGATGGTACATTATGATTATTATTAGTGACGTATTGACAGTTATTGGATCAATTCTGAAAATGGAAATTCAAGCGAAGGTAACTTTTTTCCTATTTATGCCATCATCAGTATCAGATTTGCACTAATATTTTTCCAGAATGTGAACATTGGCAGAGTAAATGATTTCTTTCAAACATTGTGTTGAGTAAACTTAAAATCAATAGCAGTAAGTTTCTTAAATCTCGTCAGGAAATCTCTCAGGCAGAGCTCTCCAAAGGTGATACACAAGCCTCTGTGTCAGAATCATTTGGGGATGTCATCTTGACCTATCAGCAGATTTTAACACTGCAAGCACTCCCTCTTTGTTGATGCACTTCTTCACTGGGCTATCACTTACCTGGTTTCCATCCTAAATCACAAGCTGGTCTTCTGACATCCTTTGCTGGATCCTTCTTATCTCTCTAACTGACTAAAGTGACAATGCCTGAAGGTGCAGTGCTTGGACATGTGCTCTTTTCTGCCATTGTCTTGGTGATCTCACCCTGTCCCGTGGCTTTAAATAGTAACTCTCTGCCAATGATTTCAAAGTCTGTATCTCCAGCTTGGAACTCTTCTCTGAACTCTAGTCTTAAATATCCAACTGTCGATTTCACATTTTCATTTGGATGTCTACTTGGTCTCTCAAACTTAACATACCTAAAACAGAACTCCCCAGTCCAAACCTGCTTCTCCTTTCTGACTTCAGTTAATGGCAACTCTTCTCAGTTGCTCAAGACGAAAGCCATAGATGCATCCTTGACTCTTCTCTTTCACTAATCCTCTCTCCCCTCCATCTAATCCAAGAGGAAATGCTATCCGTCTACCTTCAAAAACCACCTCATCGCCTCCACCGTGACCAGCCTGGTCCCAGCCACCATCAGCTCTCACCTATATTATTGCAATAGACTTCTCACTCTTCTGACAGTCTGCTCTTAACCATAGCAACCCAAATGGGATCATATCACTCCTGTTCAGAGCTTTCCAATCTCCCCAGCCTATCAGACTAAAATGCAAAGTTGTTAAATTACCCACGAGGCCCTAAACTGCCTACTCCCTTACCTCTGTGACTCCATACTCTCCCCCATTGCTCACTCCCTCCAGCTTGACTCTCTATCTTGCCAGGCATCCTCCTGCTGTGGGGCCTTTGCACATGCTTGTCTCTGTGCCTGGAACACTCCTCTCCTAGATTTTTGCTTGGCTTGCTCCCTCACTGCCCTCAGGTCTTTGTTCAAATACCACCTTCTTAGTGAGACCTTCCTGATCACCCCACTTAAAATGCAACCCGGATAGCCATTCTTTCTCCCCTCCCCTGAATTTTCTCCTCAGCACTTACCATCAGTACTGAGGGTTTTGTTAATTTATTTCTGTTCTCTCTCCCCCATACACACTAGAAAGCAAGCTTCATGAGGGAAGGACATTTTGTCTCTTTGTTCATTTCTTTGTTCTTAGCACCTAGAATAGTGCCTGATTCATATCAACCCCCAAAATATTTTTTTGCCCAAATGAATTTCTGCTAAATAATCTGTTTTTTCCCCCCACACTGTTTTAGAGTCTAACAAGTTATGATGTCTGTAGCATACTTCTTGGGACTTCCACCATGCTTGTGTGGCTTGGAGTCATTCGGTACCTCGGCTTCTTTCAGAAGTACAATGTAAGGATTCCATGGATCTCTACGCTGCTGGTATTTCTATCTTTCTGAGTTAGTGCACTGCTTTGGCTGAGGGACGAGTGGATTCTAATGGCCTCTCTTCCTTTCCCAGCTCCTTATTCTGACCCTGCAGGCAGCGCTGCCCAATGTCATCAGGTTCTGTTGCTGTGCTGCTATGATTTACTTAGGCTATTGCTTCTGTGGATGGATCGTGCTGGGCCCGTACCATGATAAGGTACCAATAAACAACTCTTTCCTGTTACCGTTAAGCTCCTAAAATAGTGCCAGTGGCTCATTATCCTTTTAAAATGGGCTCCTTCCATTTTGTGACTCAGCCTGAAAACGTTGAAGGTAGAATATATCTAGTATCATGTTTATAAACTGGCACGGTGTGACCAACTTGAGAGAATGATTGATTCACTCAACTACTTCACCTCCTTTTGTGGAATATATCAGATAATTACATCTTTTTTTTTTTTTTTTAACCACCTATGAGGTCAAGATTAGTGGGTTTGACTCATCAGTATATATTAGAGTAAGCTATTTAGGCAAGACTTTTGGAAGTGTGACTTTATTAAAAAGATAGTATGGGGACAAACTTGAAGAAATATTTGAAAATTTTGTTACCAGAGTTATTGTCTTGATTATAATGCCATGACCCTAAGTGGAATGAGCTTTAAGATGAGAAGTATGAGCATGCACGGTTAGGACTTGGGTATCTCTACAGAAGTGTTTCTAGGATCTCTTTCTATGTAGGTAAAGGGGACGGTAAGACTTGACTCAGAAAAGCACTGAGAGTGCCGACCAGCCCCTTCTTCAGTTCAGGCTGTCCCATTAAGGGGAGCATCAAGAAGGAGCTGCTTATTCCCAGGCATTATACAGGTTGTGTATATCACACAGCAAATGCTTGTAGTTTTGTCAGATTAACTACATAGTTTGCAGGAGGAACTTGGGATATCTGGTCCCATTATTTTTAATATGCTGTCATGAACAAAATCTCCACTGGGAAGGAACATGGAATAACGTGAACTTTTCTCTTTTCTTTTTCCAGTTCCGTTCTCTGAACGTGGTCTCTGAGTGCCTTTTCTCTCTGATAAATGGAGATGATATGTTTGCCACGTTTGCAAAAATGCAACGAAAAAGTTACTTGGTCTGGCTATTTAGCAGAATTTACCTCTACTCATTCATCAGCCTCTTTATATATATGATTTTAAGTCTTTTCATTGCACTGATCACTGATACATATGAAACAATTAAGGTAGGTTCATTAAGAGCCGTAAGTAGCAACATTTTTCCAGAACTTCTAGAATGGCAGTAAAATATGGTACCTAAGAGAGAAGAGAACTGATAGAATGTCAGTTTTTTTAGAGTAGAAAAGAAACACTTCAATTTTAGATACTGAGACACAGAAATGAAGAATTAGAATTTGTAGAATGTTGAAAGTTTTATCTCTAAGTAAGCTTTTTCCAACAAGCTTTCTAAACTTTTATTAGAATTATAAAGATCCTGACTCAGTCAGGAAAGCATGTGACTCTTGATCTCAGGGTCATGAGTTCAAGCCCACATTGGGTATAGAGATTATTTAAATAAATTAAAAAAAAAAAGACTTCTAAAAATCAGTAGGCTTTGATTGAGCAAAACATATGGCGTTTCAAAATTTTATGGGGAATTTTTAAAATCCAATTTTCATAAAGAAAAATTGACCTCTTAGTTTGGAGTGTGCTGTGACTGAACCCATACTCTTTACAAGGCCCTGCCTGGGACCATCCCAGAGGCGTGGTCTCCAGAAGAATGAAGAGATTGATATATCAAATACTAGCCATGTATGCTTTATACATGTCAGAAATATGATTTGAAAAGCTGTTATTTATATTGTCACTCACATGGGATATTTTCAAAATCAGTCTGAGCCCTTTGAAATAATGGAAAGGCAGGGTAAATATCCATATATATTTAAATTTCTAATAACTTTATACTATTAGGTATACCATTGACATAGACACTTCCACTTGGGGACTTTCTGGGTATGAAAGGGGTAATGAAACATGATGTCATACAAATATAGTCCCAGGGATTAAGCAAAGATTAGCAGGAGTTAATGGGTTATGAGTTGACAATTATGAATAACTTGCTTATGAAGCCTGGGCCATGATTTCAGTTTTACTGAATCAGATTTCAAGAACTGACTATCCTCAATACTTGCTTGGCAGATGTGTGCTTAGAGTCACCAAGGCCGCTGGGAAAGAGTGTAGTTGTACTTATCCAAATCCCTCCCCACTGTGCTCTAAATATTCACTGCCTTTAGCTTTGCATGCAGAGAACTATATGTTATTTAAGGGTGATATCCAAGGTCTCAAAGAGTAGTAATATGAGTTGACAACTCTTGATACAAGTCTGAGACTCACAGTTTAGATGTTTACCTCTTTCCATGAGCTCAGAGCACCTGTCAGGTAGGCAAGTGATGCCTGATCCTATCTGGTCAGGGCACGTTCTCGAGATCTTAGATCCAAAACTGATGTTAATACAAGGCCCTTAAATAAACCTGTCTGTCTGAAAGGGAGACTCCAAAAGGGTGTGCAGGCTGGACTCTCCCTGGAAAGACAGCTCAGACTCAGATTCAACATGCCCATTTTGGGTTGAACTAGACCCACAAAAGAGCCTATGAGGACACTGCAGAATTCTAGACTCGCTTTTCCTTAGCTAGACTTAAGAATGGCTCTAAAGGCTACATCTACCTGGAAATACTTGGAAGTGACTGAACTATCCCTCTAGAAAGATCCCCCTCCCTGGACAAATGATCCATTTTGAAATTGGAATAAAGCTGTTTTCAAGGTACTTATTCATGAGAGCTTTTTTTTTTTATTCTTCTGTGTAGCATTACCAACAAGATGGCTTTCCAGAGACTGAACTTCGTACATTTATATCAGAATGCAAAGATTTACCCAGTTCTGGAAAATACAGATTAAAAGACGACTCGCCAGTATCGATATTCTGCTGTTGTAAAAAGTAGCTATCAGGCTAATCTGTGCCCTGGAGGGAAATATAATGTGTAGCTAAGTTGGGAAACTATATGGATATTTTAAGATCAGGTGTCGTATGTTTAAAGACTATTACTTTGAGCAAACTGATAGCTATAATTCATCAAGAACTATTTATATTTTTAAAAGCAGTATTTAATGTCTTTTGCAGCTTTATGTTGGGTTTATTTATTTTAAACTAACTGATGAGAGAAGCTATTGAATTCTTGTTATTTCTTGTTTATTTTGCCATAGCTTTAGAATGTGTTCTCCATCCCCCTCTTTAGCTCTTAGCTTCCAGCTCTTCTGACTGGGCTGATTGTATCATCAGTGGAGAATAACGCCTGGTCTGACTTAACACAACTCACTAACCCTGGTCTTAACCACTCTCTGGGGTACATCCCTGAGAGAGAGGGTTTGTGGTTGCTGTATATCAATTATCATTGCATTTTAAAATCTTCTCTTAAAGGGCAGAATAAGAAAGAGACAACTGTCACCAGCTAACAGTCTAAATTTTGGTTCTGAAGGACAACTGTTATATGATGCTGCTTTTAGTTCTGGAAAGAATCAGGTTCTTTTATTATTCATGTATAAGTTTTCTCTCCTTCAGTGTTAAAGTATGTAGTTGAAAGAGTATCCTATACATATATAGAAATTAAAGTGCAGGGTGCCTGGGTGGCTCAGTTGGTTAAGCGACTGCCTTCGGCTCAGGTCATGATCCTGGAGTCCCGGGATCGAGTCCCGCATCGGGCTCCCTGCTTGGTGGGGAGTCTGCTTCTCCCTCTGACCCTCCTCCCTCTCATGCTCTCTGTCTCTCATTCTCTCTCTCTCAAATAAATAAATAAAATCTTAAAAAAAAAAGAAATTAAAGTGCATACCAAATGCATATTCAATCCTGCAAGGATTAGTTTAGTGCTTGCATGGCCTTGCGCAAACTGTGTGATGTACTCTGCCCTTCACAGGCACATTCAGTCTCATGCAAGAGAGTGTTTGTTTTAGGGTCAAGAACTGTGGTTTCAGGTTTCAGGGGGAGAGGTTCTAAAACTCACATTAAACATATTTTGAAAAACAATTATGCTTAAAACGTAAAAATAAGTGGGAAATGTATGCCTTAAATAGACACAGAAACAAAGTCTCCACTCCTTGGATACTACTGATGGGAATTTCAGGGAGTTTTACAATGTGTATCTTTGTTTTGAGTGTTATTTATTCAAGTAGAAATGAATTCAATGATGTGCAATAAAGGTTTTCTCAAAGCAGCTCTTTTTTTTTTTTTTTTTTTGTAAAGGAAACCTATTTGTTAATTTGTAATTTTGTTTTAAGGGTTAAATGAATATAGCCTTGAGACTCTGAAGTCTTACTATTTAACATACTGACAATCCCAATAACACTCCAGGTGTTGAAATGTGAGGTTTTACAATGAGTATAAGCTATTCTTGCAGAACTTATGGCTTTTAAAAAATGGAAAATCTAAGTCTCTGGATCCCCTGGTGTTTCATTTGCACATTGAAATTTGAGATACTTGGAGTTCCCCATTGCAACTATTTCTCCCTCTGCAGTGTTTGATAAGAATTTACTTACTGTTTATTTTTAAAATAATACCTTTATAAAAATTAATACCTTTTTACCTATCAATATGTATCACCAATTACAGCTATTTATGTACATATCTCTCTTCTCCACTTTGTGAAACTAAGGAAACTTCTCCAGATCAGGAAAGCAATTCAAGGGCAGTAACTGTTAATTATGTCTCTGTCAGTGTAGCAGTGTGGTGAGAATAAAGACCTGAATAGAAATCTTGGACCTACTACAAATTGTGTGGATGACCTCAGGGCAGTAACTTAAACCTCTCTGAACCCATTTTCTTAATTTCAAAAGGAGATGACAGTACACAGAGTGCTGAGTGTTCAGTGAGATAACATGTAAATCAAGCTTCATACCTAGTGGGCACTCAGGGTTACTCCTGGCCCCTTGAAGCACACAGTCCTTGCAGATGGTAAATGTTCTTAATAAATGCACTGTTAACAATGACTTTTCTTTTTAACTTTACCCACTCATAAGTTATTCAGTAGAATAACTCATGAGTTATTCAGTAAAAATACTGAAGTTTTAGAAAACACTCATAATGAGTAGTTGGCTGATACAAAAGGAAGTTATCCCAGTTTACAGTCCCCTTCTAAAGGGATTGTTGTCCCTAGTGGAGTCCTAGCATTTTGAGGTTACTAAGGTAGTTCTTCGTGGTGGTTTTTCTTTGAATTAAAGAGGCTTAAAAATTCCTTAGTGTAAAAACTGTGTGTATACATATACTATATATATGCTATGTAATATATGTGTACATATTTACACAATATCTATAAGCATAATATGTCTTACTTTCCATATACTTCCCCCAACACTTTCCAGTCAAGCCGCAGTCTGTCTTTTTCACGGAGTCCACATCCTCTCCACAAGAACACCACTGTACCGTTTCCTCTCCTCTTCTAAAAAGGAACCTAACCAAACCACCCTTGCGCCCACCTGTGGGGACGGTACTACGCAAACGGGATCTTCCAAGCCTGTCTGCACCCAGTGGGCACCTCTGATGAAAGGGACTCTAAAATAAGGCATTTTTGCCTTAAAAGTGACTTTCAAAAGAGGGTCAATTATGTGTATCTATTTACATCATTCTGTCCAATTACGTCTACCTGCAGACGCATATTAAAATAATTACCTGGCAGAATAGTCTTTGCCCTAGCTAACCCCAGAAACCTTTTAAACACTTGCTGATGCAGATCGCCTGGAACTCAGCACTTCGCTGCTGCCGCTACCACCGGGAAAGAAGGAATAGGGTTCCCTGGAAAAGAGGCTGTCGGCCGGGTCTAAACTGCCAAGTCAACATCACCCGCAGCTGAACATGACATTGGGGCATGTGCCCGAGACCCTCATCTCTTAAGATTCAAGCCTGGTTTCCAGCAGGCCGCTTGCCCTCCGTTTCGTGCTCTGGGAGGGAAGAGCCGCGGCAGCAGCAAGCGGGAGCGCGGGCTTACCCACCCCGCCTCTGGGGTCCTGCAAGTCTGCGCCAGCCCTCCGTCCCGCCCACGGTCACGCGGACACGCGCTCCCTGCGCAGGGGGTCCGCTCCAGCTTGCCCACGCGAGCGCAAGGCGATTCGTTTCTCTTTTCCTCGTGCGCGCGTAGCTCTTAACATCTCCGAAACATGAGCCTTGTCACAGAGTTTTGTGATCGTACACTTCGGAATACATACGCGGTCCAATGGACTTAATCCGAATGAACTTGCCAGTTTATGTAAAGTCCTAGAAGACAGGGCCATCTCTTTCTTATCCCGGTGTCCACAGTACCCAGCCCTCGGCTTGGCACTGAGTGTGTCCCGAACGCATCAAAATAGAAATGACTATTTCTACAGTCATGAATGGTGTAGAAACCCGGAGCAAAGGAAGGCAGGAGCCTCGAAGGGCAGGGAGTGCGCGCCCCCGCCGCCGGGGGGCAGTGTGGAGAGCGCGCGGGCCGCAGCGGCGCTCCACCGCCCGGTTCCCTTTAGCATATGTGCTGCCGAAGCGAGCACCCGCCCGGTTCCCTTTAGACGGCGCTTCTCCTCAGCCCGACCTCCGGGCAGACACCCAGAACGCCGAGCCGGCCGGCCGCAGCTCCCGACACCACCGGGGACCAGAGGGCAGGGGCCTCGGGCCGGCACCTCGGGGCCGAGGCAGGTGCAGCCGTCCCACCCTCGGCCTCCTCCTCCTGACTCGCGGGGGCCGCACCATGCCTCCCGGCGTGGAGGCACTGGACCTGCCGGCGTGGAACGGAACCTCAGGCCGGTCTTGGGGGCCGCGCGGCAGGTCAGTACCCCCGAGGCGCTCTGCTCCGCCCCGCTGGGCGCGCCCTGGCCGCCAGCCCCCCTGCATTCCACGGTCCCTCCCCGGGGACCCCACCGGTCCTCCCCGACCCCTCCCCGGGCTGCTTTCCTCCTGGGGTCTTCTGGCTCCCGCACCTCCGCGCCATCTCCCACCGCCTCCGCCGGCCTCCGCTTCGCTGCCTCCCGCCCCCGGGGCTCCGAGAGGCCCGCGGGCTTACACGTGGAAAAAGTGCCCCAGGGCCCAAGCTGAGAAGCTCTCCGCCAGCTCCGCCGTCTGCCCTGCCCCGGCGGGAGGCGACGCGGCGGAGGTGGTGGCTCGGAAGGCGGGAACGCCCGGCCACGCGCCCCTGGGCTCCCGGCGCGCACTTCAGCCCTGCGGTCCCGCCACCCCCCGCGCCCCGCCGTGCCCACCCCCGGGCCCGGGTCTGCGCGTCCCGGGCGGCTGCAGGAAGGCTAAGAGAAGGGAGCGTGCCTGGAAGGGCTCCGACTTTAGGGGAGGCGTGCCTGGGAAAGCCGAGACGCGTGTGCGCTGAGCGGTTTTTCCTGCTCGGAAACTCGAACGAAAGCTGTGGAAAGTTTTGAAGGCGGAGGCATGGCCCCGCAGCCTTATCGGTTTGCCCAGGCCTGGAAGCCGGAGAGAGGATCAGGGGTTTTCAGGCTAACCGTCAGGTGAGGCGCCTGAGCTGTCTTTTGGAGGATGTCAGATTCTGGAGGAATTCTCATCAAGCGGACGGCTTTACTGTTCTAGACTAGAGCTTCCTTGCTGCCTTGGGAGTGCTTATATTAACTGCTTGCAGTTGGTTAAATAAGGCTAGGCTTTGCCTTCCGGAACAAACAGGCCTTTTCCTCAGGTGGGAGGGTTACAGTGTGGTTCCTCTGCCTTGATGAAAAGGCGTACAGTTCAGCCGGATGCTGCTGCCAAGGGGCCCCACCTCCGTGGTCAGAGCTGCAACCACCCAGCTGCGCCGCTGAGCCCGGAGCGGGGTGTGGGGGGGAGTACAAACAGGCCTTGGCTCCCCCTCCTCTGCTCACAAAACAAATATAGAGGTGGGGCGTTAAATTTTCTTAAAATAGTGTAGAGACTCTCCTGCTTCTCCTGCGTGGCATTCACAGGATCATAAACGAACTTAATGCTAGCAAGGAAAGCCAGAATTCAGAAGGAGAATTTACTTGATCTCTGGTGTCTGTCCAGATAAGTATTTAACTAATTCCAAGCAAGCGTGGCATATACTTTTTTAGACTTTTGAAAGGCCAGTTTTTGTTGTTTTGTTTTGTTTTGTTTTGTTTTTTGGCCAGTTTTGAATTAGAAGACATAACTTTGGTACAACTTTTTTGACAACCGGATACTTGTGAATGTTACAACAAAATGACCATCTCTCTTAAGACTAGATGTCTAGGGCGCCTGGGTGGCTCAGTTGGTTAAGCGACTGCCTTCGGCTCAGGTCATGATCCTGGAGTCCCGGATCGAGTCCCGGATCGAGTCCCGGATCGAGTCCCGGATCGAGTCCCGCATCGGGCTCCCGGCTCGGCGGGGAGCCTGCTTCTCCCTCTGACCCTATCCCCTCTCATGCTGTTTCTCTCTCTCTCTCTCTCTCTCAAATAAATAAGTAAATAAAATCTTTATAAAAAAAAAAAGACTAGATGTCTATTTTTAATGGGGCAGATGGGCAGAAATTATACATTTCTTCCATCTGCCTTAGCTCTAAAAGCCTGTCCGGAAAGGTGGAGAGAAAATGGACTCTGGCTTTATTTATTGTGTTCTGCTTGGACTGATAAACAGGCTTGTGCTTACGGTGGGTGTGGTCTATAATCTTTCTCTTTCTTTTAATCTTTTATGACAGTATTTTTCTTAGCCTATTTCCTTCAGGGCTTAACCATTTGTATCCTTTCCGTGAGTATCTCCAGAGGCTCCCATTCTTACAGTATGGGACACATACTCAGCGGTGAAGCTTTTATGAGGATTCAGGTTTGACATATATATGTGTGTGGGTCTGGTTGTGCAGTGCCAGTGGGAAAGAGGATTGTATCATTGTAAACTGAGGATGGAAGAAGGGGTCATTGAGAGAGAGGTGGGAGACGTTGTCTAGACATCAGGGTAGGAATTCTGATGTTTTATGTGGAAGGGACCAGCTAGCTCGTTCTCCGCAGAGCTGGGATGTTGGCTTCACACTTTCAGGAACTGCTCACCACCTCTGTGATGTGCTGACCAAACCGCCCAAGTTTGGGGGAACCCGGTAGCTTCTTCCTTTTGAGTCAGCAGTCTCAAGATTTTAGCTCATCTTCCTCTTCATACTTTGAGTCAAACTCCCATTACCGTAAACTTGGCCTTCTCCTATAGCAAACCTTCCCTAAACCAGGTTCTGTGGCCTGGACCCTTTAAAAAACACACATGTCCCACTCTTCGCCTGACTGTTCTCATGCAGAGGTCAACCTAATGGTGCCAATTTTATTTAATTTCCTGCACTTAAAAATCAGTAAATCCTGATGAAGTGTTTGAGGAGGCCATGTTTTTTTCTCTCAAAAAAACATATCAAAAGTGTTGTTTTTTAACAACAGAATAATAAATATAAAATCTCTTAATGAAGCAAGGAGGAAGAGTAGAGAGACCAATTTCGAACAGAATGACAGAATAGAGAACTGAAAGTCAGGAATGATCGTATTCACAAGCTGAGCTCTTCAGGCTCGGTCTCTATTAGTGAAGTGAAACCCAGGATAAGACAGTCCTCAAAACTTAGTGGGAAAACAGGTGGCTTCTTGTGGCTACAACTTTCAAAGTAAAATCAGTGGCCAAAAGAAACCCTTTTGGCCAGGAAAGTTAGAAGTGGGATTTTCCCTAAGGCTGCGCTTAGCAGAGGCCAGGAGTCTAGGTTCCATGTGTCAGTTCTGAAGAATGAGATCACCCTTCAGGGAGCTCTTACATCACCTCTTGTGAGCTTCATAGAGAAAAGAAATTTTATTTCCAGACTTCATTCTTTTTTACGCAGACTGCAATATTCTTTTCAGGGACACATGTTTAAAGCCAGGTTTTAGTTGGTTTATTTGTTTGCTTTGGCAATCATCTGGGGGGTTTTCTTCTCATTTTCCTTAGCCTACCCCTAGCTGAGCTTTCTACTCTGTTTTGATCTTGGGTCTCTGCCTCCTTTCCCCCCTTCCCAGCTCCCAAACCCCGGGTGACAAGACAGCTTTGGGGGGGAGGGGGTGTGCCAGTATTTCTGTCCCCTCAGTTGGGAGATGGCTCCCTTTCTTTTTCTTTGAACGTTGTCTTTTGTGATCTCCCCTTGAATACATCTGGTGTTTCAGCCTAAAACATCTGTCAGGCTGTAATTGGTGACTAGTGAAACTAAAGGTTCTGAAATATTGTCCTTGCTATAATTCCAGGAGACCCATAATTTAAGCAGTGGGCTTAAAAAAATCATGTCACCTATGGCGACTAGAGGGACTTGTTAGAGTGAATTTAGGGATTCCCCAACTGACACTGAGGTGAGCTTGTCTGAAAATAAGGTCAATTCATTCAGTGGTTTGAGGAGAAGAGGATTAATTATGGCTTTATGGTTTTTAATTTCACTTTTCCTTAGGGATAGGCATCAGCATGACCCTGTTAAATTGGGCACTTATTGATATGTTAGAGAAAGCAAAATGTAAGGAGTGTCATAATTCCAGTCATCTTCTCAAGCTTTTTTTTTTTTTTTTTTTTTTTAAAAGAGAAAATTTTTTTTTTAAGATTTAGTTTTTTTTTTTTTTTTTGAGAGGGAGAGATTGAGAGAGAGGATGGGTAGAGGGAGAGGGAGAGAGAATCTTAAGCAGGCTCCATACTGAGCGCAGAGCCTGATGTGGGGCTTGATCTCACGACCCCGAGATCATGACCTGAGCCGAAATAAAGAGTCAGAGGCTTAATTGACTGAAACACCCAGGCACCCCATCTTCTCCAGCTTTAAGTGCTTTTGGAATCCTGTATTGCTGAGAGATGGAGTTTTGCTTTACTTATCTCTGACCTAGGAACCTGATTGGTCAGGATGTGCTTTCAAAGGGGGTGTGACTTTTTCAGAACAAGCACTTTTAAAATGTGCAGCCCTAGTTCTGCTTTTCTGTTGCCCAGAGGCAGCAAAGTGGTGATGGGAGATGATTTTATAGGAACTTGGTGGCATGGTTGGTCATCTCTAGGGAAATTCCTTAAAGTTGTAGCATGCACATTTTTTATGAGTGGCTCTAGTGGAAAATGAAAAGCCCTACAGGCTTTCTTTCCAGTCCTTCTCAGGATTAGAATGAGCACATCATTTATGTTCTGAGAGCTATGCTTAGAAGGTAACCAAGGTTTCTCTCTTTGACTTTCTTTTCTTTTCCTTTTTTTTTTTTTGGCTCCTGACTTCCTTTAATTGGGGCCTAACTATCCCAGAACCTCAGCTGTCTGGATCTCTCTCTTTCTCTCTCTCTCCCTCTCTTTCTCCCTCCTCTTCCCTCCCTCTCCCTTCCTTCCTCCCCCTCCCTCCCTCTGTCTCTCTCTCAGCAACTCAGCAAGTCACAACAAAATCAGTTCATTTTAGGAACTGGAGTAGAAGAAAAAACCCAGTGTCGGTTGTTGGGATTGTTCTAAAGTCTTCCATCTGCCAGATTGCCCTGTGACACCACCCCCCCCCAACACTGAAGTTCAGTCTCTGCATGACTTCCCCACTTTCTCCCTCCCATATAAATGTTGGGCAGGGAAATGCTGGATTACCTGGTATGTATTATTAGATCCTTTTCGACATACCTTATTTTAACTCATAATGATAACTCAAGAATCTGTATGTCAGTCACCAAAAATCAAGAAAATGAGGAATACTTAAGAAAATTAAGATTACATATAACATGACTTCAAGAGATTACTAGGATTTTTTTTTTCTGGTTTATGCACTTTCAGACTTTTAAGATGTCTACATACAGATATAAATGTCAACATTTCTTGGAAAGATGGAACCTCAATATATTTATTTTGTAACTTAAAAA